TTGCGAGCAAATGAAATGGGAAAATTAACTTTTCTATAGTTCTCCTTGATTATAGCAAGGCAAGGGCTTTCTCAGAGTGCTTTATTCCTTGTGAATGATTATCTTTTGACAACATCTTCTGGAGTACCGCAGGGATCGATATTAGGTCCATTACTTTTCACGTTATACATATCAAAATTCGAAAACGTATTCTTGTCATCCTCCTGTCATTTTTATGCAGATGACACGCAAGTCTACATATCTTTTTATCCCGACGAAACTGAACAAGCGATATATCTGCACTCAATTTTGATTTGAATGAATTATTTGAGCAATCCAGAAATCATTGCCTCTCACTTAATCCACACAAATCAGTTGCAATACTATTTGGAAAAAAGTATGATCGATTACGAATTGGTAACCTCAATACTATAATGAATATCCCATTTTAATAAATAATCAAACTATTGAACTACAGAAGACTGTTAAAAATTTGGGTGTCATTATTGACCAAGACTTAACTTACAACAGTCACATTTCAAAGTGTCTTCGAAAGGCTTACGCAGCACTTAAGCTGATTTACTATCAGAGACGGCACTTGTTAACGAGGCCAGTCAAAATAATCTTAAGTGAAGCTCTAGTCTTATCACATCTGAACTATTGTGATGTCTTATACGATCGCTCTCTCAGCACAAAAGACGAAAGTCGAATCCAAAAGCTTCAGAATTCGTGTATCAGGATGATCTTCAAACTCATAAAATGGCTGAAACTGAAAAACAGAAGATATATGCACTCTGCATATTCATTCAAAAAAATCATAACCGACAAAACTCCGTATCTTCATGAGAAACTGAAATTCCGTACAGATGTTCATAACCTCAATATTCAGGTCTGAATTAAGGAACCTTAACAGTACCCTTGCATAGAAGTACTCATTTTCAACGCTCATACAGTTACAGTATTTCCAAAATTTATAATAAACTACCATCAAGAATTAAGTACTCCACTGCTAGTGCATTTAGATCCAGATTACTCGAATGCTCGAATGGTTAATAAATCGTCAATAGTTGCTATAGTTTTGAATATGTGAAGTCTTTTACCAATGATTACATACAATGTGTTTTTTTTTAAATTTTCTTATAATTTCTCGTAGATGTTTATTCTGTTTGCTGGGTTAGGTGGAAGGACAGACATTCTAGACCCCTTTCAGGATTCTAGAATGAATTGAACCTCGCCCTATCTTTCATATTATTCATTTTTATTTGTCGAATCGTGATTAATGAAGACCTTCATTATTATTATTATTATTATTACTATTATTATTATTATTTGGCAAAAAAAACCGAGGCAAGAACTTTAATTTCTATCAAAAATATTGTGACGTTCATCAAGATGAGAAAATGCACAGATTTTTCACAAATTCTTGTAATCTTAGCCAAGTATCCTTTGCCTCTCTTTGCAGGCAATAAATCATTGTCGTTGAAAATGTTTCGTGGAAGGTATTCATATCTTTGAATTAAACTAATTTCTGATAGCTTCAATTCATATACAGGCAGAGATCTTATCGAACACTGTTGAGTTCTCTCTCAGGGTCTTCATTAAAAACCCACCATAATCATAGACGACGTTCCCTTGCCATTTAGAACCTTTTCAATTTGAATACAAAAAGAACATGCCTCAAAGATCCTCCCACATATAACCATTCTGAAAACTGGAATTGCCCACATCGCTTATGTGCCGCAATGTCTTTTGTGAGATCTGTTCTCTCAGTCATCCCTCGGTATATTCATATACCTACCTTCCGACGAGCCATCCGAGCTACCTCCATTTTTGAAACGCACCTCTTTCTCTCGAATTTCGGCGAATCATTTCTAAGCTCAGGTTCTTCTATTACGAGAATCGACCCAGTATTATAGATACATGAGTCGAACATCGTCGAATCAGAACTGCTCAGATGAATCAATTTTTCCATTGTTTGAATTCGTTAGAGAATTTCTCGATTTGTTCTCGATCAAAGTGCACACATGATACATGAAATGAATCAGAGAACAAGCATTATGGCGCTGGAATAGCAATTACTTTTATTGCCGTAATAATATTTATAAGGCGTGGATACATGTTCTTAGGGTTGGGTGTCACAGTGAATGACTTTGAAATAGCTTTATCCTCTGCCCCATTAGAATTTAGTGTGAACACATTACAAATCGTAAGAAACGAACTGGAAAGAGAACTGAGCATTACTCTGCACTGTATGATGTGATCATTAACCTCTGTATTAGCAATAATATTGAAAACTAGTCGTAACAGTTTCAAGACAGAGTTAATCTATATTTTACACAGTTTCTCTCCAAACTAGTTGTATCAACATCGGATTATTATCAGTAACTCATCTTCTCTAGCCATTTCCGATGTTTGTCAAACCCAAAGAAAATATTAACTTACTCCGATAGCTGTTCCCTGTCCTAATGGAATTACAACATTTTGGTATTTGTAGAAGACGAAAAGTAACAAAGATATAATAGTTTATCACGGTCTATCATGAAGTATTCTGAAGGCAAATCAATTAGTTTAGTGGCTCAATAACTCGACGATTTTGAAATTCCCAGAAGCTTTCGTAATGCAAAGCACGACAGTCACAATCACAAACATACTTATGGCAAGATTAAACAACACAAAATATCTATTTTCATTCTTATTTATTACAACCACTTAGGACAAAATGTTTATGACAACAATTCCGAAAACATTAGAGTCAGTAACAAAGATTAAAGGAAATAAATAAACCTAGGTGTCTAGATTGTGTTTAGAGAAACGACCATGTAAATACACCTGTTTTGTTTCACAAGGCGGGCAGGTATAGGAAAAAATCTCGGGGCAGGTAGAACATTTAACACTGGAGATAACAATGGACGAAAGAATTAGGTGCCTACCTCAGCAATTTTTATGTCATTTAGATGTGACAGCTCCCTACTGTGTTAGGTAAAATTCATGATGCATGGTTTTTGTGTTAAAATCTCTTTCTGAAGATTTCTTCCTTTCATTGAGGCATGATATAATATTACTACTTCCATTACAGGCATCTACGGCCATGCTTCATTGCCTGTTGGATTCTAAATTATATAATGGATTGTCATCAAAACTATTATAGAAATCCATGAATTTTTGCCGGTGAAATCAACAGGAGTTTTATATTTCAGGATCAACATTCAAGATACAAAGATACTACAAATCCGAAAGATGATCGTCAGATATCTGCATCGATCTTTCATGATGTCGTAAAAGTACTGAAATCCTCGCTGGAATCCAAGCATGATTTCAACTCCTCGTTTCATAAACTCTAAATTTAGACCCAACCAATTTCTGTTTCATTGTTGCTCAAACTGTCATTGTTCAATCCTTTACTTTGAGTTCTTACTCTTACCCAATTCTTTACGAGAGAGATAATAAGAATGCTGCAACCATTCCCATCGAAACTGCTTGAGAATTACGGCGTCGTAATTCAAGTGTGAAGTTGGCCAACCACTCCATATCCATTTATGGAAAGAATATTAATTTCATATATTGGCTGTGACCCGAAGGTAGAATCGGAGGGACTGATTCTTGTTCGGCGTTATTATCTCTGATGCTCTGGCTTTCTCGGATCATTCTTCAAATATTGTATTCAAAGTCGGACAATGATAATAAGAAGCAACCGTAGTCGTCAGGTCTTCACACCGCTTCATACGGAAATGGTTCGATATTGATTATCGTCTATATATGGGCGAAAAGAGGAATTTAATCGAAACGCTTTCATGAGATATAACTGTAATAACTACATAGTAGGCGACCATGCAGCACATCTGGCCCTGAAGAAATGCCTGACATTTATTTCACCTGAACTGACAATTTTTTACCAAAACGTTATGATAATATTGTGTTAACTTCATCATAGACAAAAGCTATGGATCATTCTGAATGAGCTCCGATCTTACTAGTTTGATTTGATCAGCCTAAATTTAGTTCGCATTATAAGATCTCATCAAATCGATTGTACGCATTTTAGAGCATATTTGTTTATATGAAATTGCCAACCATGTGTTTCTGTTTGTATTTTGGAGGATGGGAACTACGGAGATATTTTAAGTTTCCTCATTCTAGGTGACTGACCATGGATTCCTGTAGATGATGTGGCAATCGGCTGAAAAACACGGAGACACATTTTCTGGTTGCGTCAGACATTTTCTTCGTAATTCATTCTTAGAATCCATAAAGCTCGGAAAGAAGTAAGTCAAATGCGACTGCAATCGTTACGCTTTGGTCATCTTCAAAATTTGTTCATAGTAATAAATAATCGTTATAAACATTTTACTTATACCTACTTGATATTATCTCTCGAATTATCTGCTCTAGTAGTACAAATTATTAAGAAGATAGTAGAATGCATTTTTGATACGATTCTTGAACATTTGTAGCATGCGACGTCCAAACCATCTTCTGTCATTTAGCAGACGTATTTTACGTATCTGATAAAGCCAAGGATAACGTGTGCATATAATGATATTTGTTAAGAAGAATGTCTCCCTTTTAGAAATAGGTACCATCGATGATTATTATGGTAGGTACCTCGTAGTCAAAAACCATAGGTAATAACAAATGAGTTTTATGTTTCCAGAAGAACGAGAGTCTTGTGATTTTGCGTTCGTTGGTGATCTGTGCCTATATACCTATCCGCATTAGGGGAGTAGTCAAAATGTCTAAAACTGGTATGTTTGAAGTGATAATTTCTATAGGCCCGTTGGGAACTCTCTTGGATAGGAGACCGGCATAATCATAAGTGTATACCATAGAAGTTCTCACTTCCGACGTGTGGTCAATCTCTATTTCCATTAGTAGAATGCCAAGCCGATTTTTCTTCAAATTCTCACAAACTGACTTGATTTTTTCACTCATTGCATATTGGAGCTAATCTCTGGATCAATTGAAATAGGTACTTATAGAAATTAATGTTTAATATTATACGATAATTTTGAAAAAACTCCCACCTGTAGCAAGTTTAAGTCCCTCCACGAAACCCAACATGTATAACAACTCAAACGACTGTATAACAAAAAAATCCTCAACAATCGCCGAAAACACAGAATCACTCTTTAGCTTCCTCCCAAACCACCAAGTTCTCGTGAGCCCGTCAAAAATACCGAATACCAAACACAATCATAGCTATCGGCGTTGGCTACCGTACGAAAACAAACGAAGACGCACACAGAACACAGAAGCTGCCACGGAACGACGAACCATGCACGTCCACTTAAAATGACCGACTCTTGTGCGAGTGCGTTGGCTGCACTACTCACGGCTACCCGCGATGGGATATGCATCTCTGATTTTCTCGGTTCGGTTCAAGAGAGAGAAGGCCAGGATGATGCGGTGTTGCCAGTTTATCATGTGTGCGAAGATGCGATAACGATAGCCATGGGAATTAGCCTGTTGGGAGTTTTGCACAGTGCACAGATTCTGGTTTACTTGGATATTGAGATCAATTGAGATACTTTCTTAGTTTGTAACTATTATATGCATACAGCATTTGACAGTCGATTAAATAATTGTTTATATGCCTATATGACATCGGACCTATACCTATATCTCTTAGCTGATTAGTTAGTAGGCTTGATAATTACTAGATAAGCTTGTTAGGATACCAGAGAATGTCCAGAGATGTTTATGCAATCGGCCCAAATACAGATAGGTATTATTTTTTTTTATGTTCTGGTTCCCACGAAAAGGGATATCCTGTTATGTTCAGAGAACATCGTTAGGGCCAAGGAAAATAAGGTAGGAATTGGTGTTCTTCTAAAATTTCTGGAGGTTATATGCCTCGGGAAACACTTCTCTTGGCAAAGTGTTCCAGAGCCTCGCTGTTCGTTGGATGAACGAGTCTTTGGAAAGAGATGTTCTGCAGGTCTCCAAAGTGACCACGAAGGGATGCGAAGCCTCAACTCGACGGGTTAATCTTGCTGGGACTGCCAAGGGAGGAACAATTGTTGATATTTCAGAAGAGCATTGACCATGAAAATATCTATAAAATAGAGCCAGATCGCCAACTTTTCTAAGATGTTCCAGAGAAGTGAGTGAGTTTGTCCTTTTTTGGACAGAATCCAACAGTTTTAGGGTATGTTTGGGTGACTCCAAATATGGGAACAGTATTCCAGGACAGGTCGGATCTGTGCCTTATAAATCATAAGCAGCTGACTGAAAATGCAATAGCTCCTGGCCCGAAACAGAATACCAAAATTTTGGGATGCACTTTTAGCAATTGATCTCACGTGAGTTTCCCATACAATAGCACGATGCAAGACGCTCCGTGGAAATTATTCTTAGATGAAGTTTCCTACTTTGTTGTTACGAAATGTCATGAATTGAAACTTGCGTCAATTCATTACTAATGTGATTGTTGAGGATGGTAAGAATAAGGTGATTTCGACCAAGGGGCAGGTTATCACATTCATTATAGGAAAATCAAATATTTTTCCGTATGCGTTCATCTGTTCTGGAAATTTTCTTTGGGGAAGGAGAGAAGTCGAATTGGCGTTCCTCAAAGATTCTCGAGACAATGACGTAACATCCAAAATTGGCACGTGATCTGACAACAGCGTCGGTGGCAACAATGGGTCAGCGGATGGCATGTAAAATGTAGATCCTGAGAAGAAAAAAGTCTTGTCGAGCTAAGGAGTGACCAAGAAATCTGACTCGCCACAGTGGCGTAACTACAATGGAGTAGTTTCAGGTACTTCAAATTACCTAGTTAACGATGCATTTCTGGCAGAACCATCCCCTTGATAACTTAAGATGTTGACCTTTCCTGGGCCAGTTGTGCAAAAATGAATGTTCCGTAGACCTGATGCCGCTGTAGGATCAGGACCTCACACTACAAGATCATATGGAACACCGTTTTCTCCTCCTCATCGAATAATCTCTTGCTAAGTGGAATCATCCATAAGTATGGAATGCGTTTTATTCAACCTCAGCCTGTTTGAGACAATGATTGCCTTGCTAATCATCATCTTGCAATACCTATTTGTCCTTTCACACAGTTCCAATTAGTTCCAATGTAGTTGCTGTATTGTTTTTGTTGTTGTTCGGTCAGATTTGGTCAGTCAGTGATGTATTGACTCGTGTATTGAAGTATTCATATCATGTGGCTTTCGCCACACCAAATACTGGCAACCGGCTAGTAAATGCTTCATATGAATTTTTTCTTGCCATAGTTCTTCTTTTCTGTGTTCTGGCACACATACAAGTTTCGTTATCTTGAGTTACTTTAGGGAAATGAGGTTATAAAGATAATCCTAAACTAGTTAGGTTTGTATCCTATATAAAGTTTCCTACGGAGTTTCCTACTACAAATATCGAAGTCATTCCTTTTTTATTCATCTGTGCATATCTATCTGGGTAAAGGTAAACTCTCGGCAACCAATCAGGAGAAGGTTCTCAAGCAATAAAATAAATTCTAATGTTTTAATGCTTACTGCCAGCATGAATCTTCTTATAATGTTCTCAAACTTTGATATTTGCAAGGATGAATTTGTTACGTCACTGGCTTTGGACTCTGCTGGGTGCACAAACACAGGACACACAGTGCTTTTTCTTCTTCTCTTTTCTTGTCCGTATTGTAATCTATATATAGAAAACGTGAATCCGTGCTCGGTGGTTGTTTTGGTTATTCGTTTCGGCCACATGGTCGCTATTACACGCATTTTATAAAAGACGATTAAGTGTAACGAATCCTTCAAGGTCGTTACAAAAAATGACCTGTTTAAGATCTAGAGGGTAGTTAGATGCAATTATTCAACTCTGAAAAACTCGAACTCATGAATGATTATGTATTTTATGGTTCAACCGGTTTCTTGGTATATCGTAATTATAATGATTCCTCAATTGTTTTTCATATTTCCGCCAGCAAGTCCACAAGTATTGCTATTTTATTGCCTGAAACTAATTATGATTATTGAATCCTTATTGAAAAAATTGATAAGGATACTATCTATCAGTCTTGCCTAATTGCATCTATAATTTACAGTACAATCAGCTGCTATGGAAATACTTACATAATTATACTCCCTTTCAATACCTTTCTAGAGACTCATCAGACAGAGAAGCATATATTGAGTCTAGTATAGTTCTGGTGGACATGTACATAAATATCTCGCGTACGGTTGAATACAGAGTGTTTACTAAAAAACGGGTGTGCTGTTTTGGTGTTTAGTGCTGTTGAAACTTTAAAACAATGAAATAGCAGAAGTGGACTATTTTATACAAATTCACTTTGTTTTCACGCTAGTGAGTGTTTTTTTTTTCATTATTTTATTATACCGTCCTTTTCTCCTTTGCTTTTCTAGCTATATTCGTGAAATTTGAATCATCGAATATGCTCACTAGACGGTCCTTTCTCACATTTAAGGTTTTTTTTCATCATCCGGTTTTCCTGGAAATAACATTCACTTTTGATTTTCAAATGGAGCACCCTGAATTTTTTCCATAATCGATCCACAGAGAAAAATGACCAGAGTATACTTCTTCAAATTCAGATCTCCATGCTCGTACGGAAGGCGATATATTGATTTTTTTTCCAGATTCTCAAGCAAACAGACAGACAGATATTCACCTTTATGTCTCTATGGAAACACGACAGGTACCCTTACGAGGGGAGAGTACCAACTTTGCGTTCATAAACCCTCTCTGCAAAGGAGGTAGACGCTAGATGGGTTAGGTATATACAGTGTTTTTCATCGCAGAGAAAATTGTTGCTTATCTGTCTGCCTCGTATTCATTGAGATAGTTGATTAATTGATAAATTACAAAAATATATCGCATTCCAGTTACGAATGTTGAAAACGATATGCAGACTTTTCATCCCATATTCGTCTCACGATACTAATTTCAAATTGATACTTGGTTTTAGGAGCGAGCAGCACAGTGTTTCCATGGATGTACAGCATCTAATAATGATCATTTTTGATTCATATGTTTCGATATTTGATATAAGATGTGCAGTTGCAGATCCGAGAAGCACAGTGTTTGATACTTGACACAAAATCCTAGAAAACCATCCAATCAAGTCGAACCTAACAAACGATCCACAAAGAAAAATGACCAGAGTATACTTCTCTACTACGCCACTGAATTACTTTATGAAATAATTTTCATTCCGTCTTATAGAGCGTAAAAAGTTCAGAATCTGTTAGAAATTTTGTTGATTTATCTCAGACCGTTTCGAACTTTTCATCACAAAACAATATTCAGACTCGTTCAGACTCGTATTTTCAACACCCTATATCTCGATTACGACGCGTTATGAAGTATTTGATTATCTCAACGAGTACAACACACTGTTGAATTTTTTGTATCACAAACCGGACTACCCTGTATATACATACCTACCTACCATAGGGCAAGAAACAAATTTTGAATCGATAAATATTGAATTAATTATACTTGGTTTGTGGAGTCTGAAACGTTTCGAGAAGTTTAGGAAGTTTGATGAAGCTTGGGAAGTTCGAGGAAGTTTGGGAAGTTCGCGGAAGTTTGGAAGTTCGAGGAAGTTTAGGAAGTTCGGGGAAGTTTGAGTAAGTTTGGATGGTTGGGGGAAGTTTGAGGAAAATCTGGGAAGTTTGAGGAAGCTCGGGGAAGTTTGAGGAAGTTCGAGGAAGTTTGAGGAGGTTCGAGGAAGTTTGGGAAGTTTTGGCCCATGGGAAGTCTGATGTACAATTTTTTTCGTCGTAATTTACCCCGAGCAAAAATCAATGTGAAATAATGCTAATTTCGATAACTTGCTTGTGTTATGCCAGCAATTCAGTATGACGCTTAACCATAATGTACATCACTGATCAAAACCGAGATCAAAACGTATATTAGGCTTGGCATCTATAAATTGATTGATAAGAGGATGAAACCGATAATTTTCCTCCACTGTGAATAATTCTAATCAAAAAAACAAGAGTCAGAATTTTGTATTTACCACTCGTTTTTCAAACACGTATACAAATTTATTTGTTCATTATATTTTTCATCGTTATATTTGGTATTACAATCACGAATGGAAATTTGTCAAACGTATTGCGTCATTTAACGATTCAATCACATAATTACCCATTTCAATTGGTATTCTAATGCCCAACATTCTGAATCGGACTTGAGAAAGGATCTGAATCGATGATCAACTGGTTGGGGCCTCTCGTCATACGGTGTCTACTTCCGAATTACAAATTCAACGACTATTTTATGTATGAGTTTCCATAAATGCGCCTTAATACGTGTTTCTAGGAGTTTAGACGTCTTCAAAACACAATGGAGATCGTTAGGATGGATTATCTCATTCGTTTGTCATATTCCCCCAAAAGGATGTAATGGCGCTGGAGATTTCCAAGCAATGTAACGAGGGTCATTAGAAGTTGATTCATAATAGTATATGATTCGCCGTGCATCGTTTGAGGATAAGTGTGAATCATCGAGACATGGAGA